TTTATAATTTTATATATAATTTTGAAAAATATAATTAACTATATTTATTTTAAAAAAATTTCAAATCATAAATATTATAATTTATAAATAAATATAATATTAATTTTATTATTAAGTATTATTTTTTATGAATTATTTAATTTGAATATTACATATATTTTTTAAAATTAATTATACTTTTTAAAAAAATCTGAAAATCAAAAAATGAAAAATTATTATTTATTTTTTTCTACAAAATATGAACAAAAAAACCCCAAAAAAACGAAAAAAAAAATAAGAAATTTCATGTGAAAAATCGATTACTGGGTAACCGATTTCTCACTTGAGCTTTAAAGTGAGTTATTTTGGTAAATAAAAATCAGTCTAGATTATTTAAATAAATAATTGTTTTTTTCATATATTTAAAAAAAAAAAAAAGAAGTCCACTTTCAACACTTCTAAACAAATTGTATTTAACCCCAAGCGTGTGGTTCAGCGGTAGGGGTTGATCATTGTGTATGCAGCCGCGTTAAATCTTGGGGCCAACTATCCCACCCTTTGAGGTGCCTCCAACGTAGCTAGGAGATTAATCACTGCTGTCAGTGGTGGATACTCCAGGAACGAACAAAAAAAAAAATTGTATTTATCTCACTATTTTCATTTTATCCATGTTTTTTCTTTTCAAAATATATTTCCTTCTATCAAAGGCATGAGAGATCGGTGACAGAAGTGGAAATATCAAATATGGTACAGGTGACAAGTTGGCGGGTGATAATTAGCAATTCTAAAATAGTAGTATTATTTGTTAAATCTGTCAAAACCATCCAATTTCATTTATTTTAATATTCCAAACTTCACTTGACACATTATTAAAGCCACCATCATTCATTTCTCTCTCTTTTCGCTTTTACTAACATCATTCATTATTCTATTTTGTTGTATCTGTGTTCAGTGTTGCAGTATTGCCCCTTCCCTTCACAATTAACATTTTCATTTTTTTCCTCTGAATCTGATATTAATATCATCGGAATTTGGCTTTCATGGACAAGGCAGCTGCTGAACTTCAAAGTGAGGCAGCAGATCCTACTCTTCTTCACCGTCAGGTGATTTTGCAAAACCCCCTTTGTTGAAAATGAAAACCTCAATGCTCAAAAGTGAAAGGAAAAGAAAACAAAAAAACCATTTTGCCTGTTGCTTGATTTCTGTTCAGAGTTCAAACCAAATGGGTTTGGGTTTCATTTGGTTTGAGCTGTAGGGACCAAGATAATGCCAAGTTCAATTTTTTACCATATGGGTAAAACAAATTTTTGCTTTTTGTTTTCTTCTTCTTTGGAAAAAAGAAAACTTTCAGGTTTTTTTTTTTTTTTTTTGTGATACTTTTAGTGAACTATTTTTTATGCCTGTTTTTTAGACATGTACTGGAAATGGGATAGGTGACAATACCTCCTTGATTCCAGAGTCCAGAAAGCCAAGTCTCTCCTCCCTGCAAATACCAGTAAGGTCACTGGAAAGTGCATTTTCCTCTTTAAGCAAGACAGATGGGCCTACATTGATATCAAGTCCAGGTTCCAGTAGAGGACTTCCTCCGAGGCCAAATTCAGCCAGAGTCAAGTCCTCTATGAGAAGTTTACTCTCTGAGAGAAGCCTTAGGGCTAAGAATTGTTCACAAGATTGTGAAAGGACAGTTTTGATTGTACCTGATACCTTACCATCAGATGGTCCAGTGGATAAGCCTTCAACTTCAAGGTCCCTTTCTCTCAACAAGATTTTGTTCTCTTCATCAATGAAAGCAGCACATTCATTGCCAGTTACTCCAACTGCAAATTCAGGTGCAGAGAATGTGCATGGAAGACATCTAGGGTGTGATTCTGATTCGAGTGTATGTTTCTGCTGTTCATTCTTGTTTCATGATTCAAAGCAACTACTTTTATATTCTAGTAATCATAGTCAGAGTTTTTCTAGAATATGCTGCATTGATGAATATTCTCATTTTATCCAGAAAATGGAAGTAAATCAACACATCACTCGATCATTTTCCGTTCCAGTTAATGTCAAAGCTGCTAATTTAAGGCCTACAGATTCTAGGAGCCTGATTCGTGTAATTTCAGCAAGAACACTTCCAGGAACTATTGGTGGCATTCCAACTCAGAATGCTTCTGGATCAGAGATTGGTAAATCTTCATAATATATGCAATTTACATCACTTTTTATGTGATATCTCTTTTAAATTTTGGGATCAAGAGTAACAGCTAGGTGTTTTGGCAAGCATAAATGAAGTTAGCCATGTGAATGTGTCGTTTAAAAAGACTTCGCAGATGAAGGATAATATAGGAGTTATAATTTAATTTCAGAGTTTGGGCAGAACTTTGAGTATTAGCTCAAATAGTATCTTACTTCCAAGTTATACTACACTTGTAAGTTGCAAGTTAGCAAGAATATCTGCTCAGTTTCCTCATTCCAAAGTTATTCAGTGTTTGGAATCTTGTAGCTTTTATAAATCATTAATGTGTTGTATTGGGAAAAACCCAAGTCCCGCCAATCCTAGATCATTAAAAAGGGTCACCCACCATTTATCCACGTACCAAGCCCAATAGTGCTGGACGTGAGGGGGTGTATTGGGAAAAACCCAAGTCCCGCCAATCCTAGATCATTAAAAAGGGTCACCCACCATTTATCCACGTACCAAGCCCAATAGTGCTGGACGTGAGGGGGTGTATTGGGAAAAACCCAAGTCCCGCCAATCCTAGATCATTAAAAAGGGTCACCCACCATTTATCCACGTACCAAGCCCAATAGTGCTGGACGTGAGGGGGTGTATTGGGAAAAACCCAAGTCCCGCCAATCCTAGATCATTAAAAAGGGTCACCCACCATTTATCCACGTACCAAGCCCAATAGTGCTGGACGTGAGGGGGTGTATTGGGAAAAACCCAAGTCCCGCCAATCCTAGATCATTAAAAAGGGTCACCCACCATTTATCCACGTACCAAGCCCAATAGTGCTGGACGTGAGGGGGTGTATTGGGAAAAACCCAAGTCCCACATCGACTAGAGATTAGGCAATTGAATAGTATATAAGTGGAAAGCAACCCTCACCTTAAAAGCCGGTTTTGTAGGGTTGAGTTAGACTTAATCCACTATTCTAACATGTTGTGTCTTGTATTTGCAAATAATCCATATTCATCGTATTCCATAATGAGAGAAATAAAACTGCCAAAGAATTTGTTGAAGGCTTTAATTTTACTAGATGTAATGGCAGAAGAAAGGTGTGTAGTAAGTAGTAGTTCTCTCAACAACTACAGCTACAAGCTTTTGTCCTATCAGGTGGCATTGGATACATGGTTCAAATCACATCACTGTGCTTCATCAAAACCCAATTTCAGGATTCTCTCTTTTTTAAACAAACTTTTTTAATGATTTGTCCTAAAGTTTATCCAGTTTTTGCCCCTTGGTTACACTTCAAGAATACTTTTTCTAACTATTTTTTTTCTTCATTTTCTAATTCTGTTTTGGGTGAGAACTCAGCATTTTATAAACTTTGAATTTATTTTGTTCCATTTCCCTTTAATTTTACTTTTATCTTGCAATAACTGTTTCTGTAATTGCACGCCTCATTGTGCATTTCTTGTATACACGGATGTTGATTCCTCTTTTCCTCAATATGTTATTTTGAAAGATGAGAACCAACTATGCTCGCTTCCTTTTAGTTTTTAATATGTCGAAAGATTCAATTCAACTATTTGAACATTACTTGTTCTTGTAAGGAAATTGAAGCTGCATATTATTTTTCTGATGAACAGTGTACAGGGAAATTACATATATATACTAGTTCTAACCTAGTATTTTCTCGCTTCGATTTCCAGTCGATGAAGATGCTTCTGAAGATATTCCAGAGGAAGATGCAGTTTGTAGGATTTGTTTGGTTGAGCTTGGGGAAGGAGGGAATACTCTTAGGATGGAGTGCAGTTGTAAAGGTGAGCTTGCACTTGCTCACCAAGACTGTGCAGTAAAGTGGTTTAGTATAAAAGGAAACAAGATATGTGATGTCTGCAAGCAGGAAGTCCAAAACCTTCCGGTAACACTATTGAAAATTTCTAATACTCAAACTGTTGCTCGACAGCCATTGAATGCACCGGCACCGCAGCAAAGAGAAGTAACATATTACAGGTATGTTTAATTTCTTCAATATGTGCAGCTCTTTTTGCATTCGATCTCAAACTAACAGGAGAGAGCTAAAATGTTCTTGTACGCATTTGCTGGTCCTGTGATCCAGACTTCAAAATCATCTAGAACACTAAGTTCCAACACATTTCCTTATTTTAGTCTTCTGGTATTAAGGTCAGTTTTAATATTGCATAGATCACTTCTTATTGGGAAAAACTGAAGTTCTACATCGACTAGAGATAAGACCAAGATAAAATATATAAGTGGGGGGAATCCTCCCTAATAAACCAGTTTTGTAGAGTTGAGTTAGGCTCAAATCCCACTTTCTAAGACTTATTAGCTTCAATTTAATTTACATATTCAGTCCTTGAAGAATTATTGTCGTTAATCATGGTAAAGTGCTCCAAATTGGGGAGGAAAACCACTGAGATTCACTAATCAAGTTGAAAGAAAAAATCCATATGTAATTCGGTAATTGGCTGAATGCTTGTGTAACAAACTTTACAGGGAAAGCTCAATTGTGTGTCTGAATAAGACCTCAAAAGGATATAATTGCTAAGGTATTATTATAGTTACATTGTCTCCTGAGATTGCTCATCTATTAGAGCAGTAATTGACTTTACATTGACCTTAATACAATATATTTCTAATACGGTTTCTAATTAGTTAATTTTAAGGATTTAATCCTTGGGGAACTGTAGTAAATGATGCTCCAGACTATGAAGGAAATCCCGATTCCCAAGATTCACAAAGCCAACTAAAAAGCTTACTCTCTATCTATTTGGCTGCTGATTGTGTAATAAAAGATGTGCTGGTTATTTCTGAATTTGAGCAATTTGACATATATATAAGGGAACAATGCTTTGTCAGGTCTACAAACTGGTGGTAATTCATTAAACAATTGCTGCTTCCTAATCATAATTTACTGTACAGGATATGGCAGGATGTATCAGTACTTGTCTTGGTCAGCATGCTTGCATACTTTTGTTTTCTTGAGGAACTACTGGTACGCTACTAATCTTGGTAACACTGACCGAAGTTGTTGGATCATTTTTCTTTGTATATTATAAATGAAACTAACTGAAGTGGTCCCTACGTTGGCACTGGTTTAAAGTTATAAGATTAAAACTGCAACTATAAGGATGAAGGTGAAACCTGCAGTTATTTACATGGACCTTGTATCAAAAATCAAGAGATACCATGATAAAAGCCCAGAAAGCTTTTAGGGAAAAACTGTGTGGCTGTGACTTTTTCTTGTTAATTACAGAAATCAAATCCTTTACAAGCATAGGAGGTTTTGTCCAAAAGTCTAGCCTAGAAATTCCAGCGGTTATTAAATATCTATTTATAGTAAGATAATGTTTTATAGGTAATAAACATATTAAACACGTGACAAATAATAACTACAGCCAGGCCTAATAATGGTTCAAGATGGTGGAAGTCATTAATACTTTGAACTTCTGGCTTAACTATAATTTCAATTTGTTTTGAACATGTAACATTTTGAGGAGTGTACAATTTTTATTTTTATTTTAAATCAGATGTAATTTCCCAAAACTAGAAAATTCTAAATATGTTACCACTTATAATTTGAAGATCTGTTTCCCTATTCCATTATTAATTGGCCTGGAATGGACCAATACATGACTATTATACTCTACAATTCAATATTCTCAAGAAATATATATTGTAATGGCTGCAAATTCTTGTCCTGAAACATTTATAAAATGAATTAGGTAGTAAGCATATTTATAGCTATAGCAGTGTGTCTATTAAATTTTAAATGATATCCCACATCTGTGAAGATGAAAACCTGTCACAACTCCACTAATGCAACCAAACTAAGCATCAGGAAACTGTTTTACTAGTTCTTTTAATATTCTGTCAAACAAAAAATCAATCCTGATTAACCCCAAACATCACAGATTGCTCTGTAATTTCCTCGAGAATCACCATGCAAGAGAGGACCTTAATTGTGAACATCTTCAATGAAGAGTGTGATGACATATGAATAAAAATGGACAGTCTGTTAATGCAAATAGCAATAGAAATATTCAAATGGCTAAGATCTGGATTGCACAATGAAAGAGTAGAAGTAAATTTCATAGGTATGATCTCAAATGATGTTTATTGCTGCTGAGACTTGGATTTTTGAATTAAATAAACAAAATAGACACATCGTTTTTAAAAGGGACAAAAAGAGACACTTGACAGAATACTTTAGTAGTTAAAGGGACAGAGAGCTTGCATATGACATCAAAATTTTCTGAAATAAACAATCGGATTTAGTAAAATATGTATTAATATGAACCTAACTATAAAACTTAACATTACTGTTTTAACATTTTAGGTGGTTTCTATATTCTGAGCTAATTTTAAGGTGGTATTTTTCCCCTTTGCAATTTATCTGTGGTGTCACTGTATTACTCAAGTAACTGGTTGATGAACTATGCCATACATATTTGCTCATGAATGAGCATATACTGTTTCGTTGACTCGTTAGTACTTAAAAGAAGCTCATCTTTATTAATGTTTATCAGTTTGTTGGAATTTTGGATTTTTACGTATAGAGGAGAAAACAGAGCAAAGGAGACCTAGTATAATATTTAGTTATGTACTGTGGTGCATTACAATAAGATGTAATGTGATAATATGACAGGTACAGGTTAGTTGAGGACCTTGGTTAATTGTTAGATTTAGTTAGTTTGTTGTAATTAGGGGGGCTGGATGATAAGAAATAAGGCATATTGCCCATAAATAGGAGGAAGGATTGAGAAATGCAGACTCTCAAAGTTCAACAATCATTCTGTTATCAGGGAAATTTCCCTGTTTTCTCAATAGATCTGATTCAGTGTCTATCATAATGAAACCTAAAACACCCCCAATTTATATTAATAATCCTAAATCCTAGCTAAATTAGGAAAAAAGTCATTAGACATTAAAAAATATGGAAACTAATCTTAAGATATGAGCACAATGAAGGTGTTGGAGCTAGCCAGTGTCTATGAGGATGATAGACAACTTTTAAATGGATGGGGGAGTTCCTTGGACACAAAATGATGAAATGGGGGAAACTAATTTTGAAGGGGAAAAAAGAATGAAAATAAAGAGAGCTCCACATCTTAGGGAACTTGAGGACTGTAGTGGCAGGACAGATTGCAAAGGATGGTACTACCCTAATGCCGTTTTAGAATTATGAGATTTTAGGTATAGAGGTAGAGAAAATAGATTTTGATTAATATTTACTTGTGCGGTGTTTTATTACTTTAAGATATAATGTAACGAGTGTTATCAATTGCAGATGGTGGAAAATGGTAGAAAGCCAATAATCCATGATATCATTATGCATATAGAGTTGCAGTAAAATAACAAAAGTCAATGTGGTGGAAATATATGATATATATCAATTAGGTATGTATAAAAAATTAAGTTGTATGAAAAATAGAAATAAAATGCTTATAAAACACCGTTATAGTCAACAGAGTTGCAATCGTTGGTACAAGGAATTCTGTAATGCAATAGCACTATAGCGGTGCAATAGCACTATAGCGGTGCAATAGCACTATAGCACTGCCATAGTGGCTATGTAGTTTAACAACACTAAGCACTGACCGTTATATTTGTAATGACCCGCTATGGTCCCTACACTTAGTGAAATCGCACTACTACTAGTGAACTAAGAGAATATAGAAACTGAACAACTTATACATACAGGTGTATAAATATAAATATAAATAACTACGTTTCTATGTACAAAATATAGCACCATATATGTACAGTCATCCCAAAATCATAATCTCCTAGTGCCGGTCAAGCACACACAATAGTTACCCAAGAAGGTAACTTCGACACTAGGACAAAGTCCTCATCACGCAACGGCCACCTCAACTCCAAGCTAGCCCTGACCTGCTCCCATACCAAGTATGATCATCGCAGTCCATCAACATAGAAACAGAAGGGTAAGCTAGAGTTCAAAAAGTAATCATACAAGTACAAAATAAAATCTATACTACACATGCATCCAAATCAAGTCCCAAAGGAACTTCCATCTCAATCATTCATTCATCAAACATGAAGTCAAACACCATACACTTCATCATCATAACAATCATGTAATACATGTAACTCGTGACATATATCAATGCATATCAATCATCTAATGAGTCGTCACGCATATACTTAGGAGATCTCCCTAATAGCAGAACAGTGTAAGTGACATCCCAATCCTACCAAAACTACCCCAACCGTCTTCATGCCAAATGCGCATGCTCGGTCACAGCTAAACAGGATATAAATCCTCCCTCGGGTTTACTCGGATGATATCACTTATACAATTGGAAGTTTGGTTTCACTGTCAAGTATAGCACAGCTAGGTACAAGCTTACCATGACCTTGGCATGCATTACCAAGTCACTTGTGAAGTTTGCCCACCAACTATCCGCAAGGAACCACGCACCTTCCCTAGTACTTGGTTAAGGGAATAACCTTCGACCTATACTCCGCTCCAACACTAGTTAAGGACTTAGAGGAGACTCACCCAAACCAGTAGCCTACATGAGCACCACTTTTATATATCAGTGGCCTATCCAAGCACCACTCTCAAGAGACTCTATGTGAGCTCTTCCAGTTCTAAAACATTTCCCTCTCCTCAAGTCCTAGGCTAGACACATGTCATAAGGCATCACATGCAATGATGCATCACACATCATACATGGTCTACCCACCATCATGATCAATAATCATACTCATGCCATAAGGCATCACATGCAATTATGCATCATACATCATACATGATCCACCCACCATCATGATCAATAATCATACGCATATGAACATATACACATGTCATATCATATTTAAACATTCATACATATCATTACCAAGCATACATATGAATCAGGCATCACCACACATATATCATTCATACATGATCAAATCTTCAACTTTCAACACATGCCTAAGCATCATTTAAACTCTCATAAATAAACATGTTCACGCCTGGCGCAGCCTGAGCGCGCCCGGCCTAATCCCAACCCAAGAGTCTCCATGCCTGGTGTCCTTGGAATAGAAACTCATAAGAGTCTCCACGCCTAGAGCACCCACCTTGCACCCGGCGTGCTCCAAACCTGAAAATCAGGAAAACCAGCCACATGCAAACAAAGGAAAACATTGCATAGTGTAACACCCCAGTTTTCATACTTTTTATCGAGGGTAATTTAGTAATTTTCATAAGATTAATTTAGGGTGTTTTAGTTGCCTAGAACGGGCCGTTTACAAATTAGAACGGGTCGTTCCAAGCTATTAAAAAGTTTGATATTTAGTAGTCCAGAACGGGCAGTTCCCAAACTGGAACCGGTCGTTTCAAACCACAAAAATGGCCTATAACCCTAGTTGGGAACGGGTCATTCCAAAGTTGGGAACGGGTCATTCCAAAGTTGGGAACGGGTCATTCCAGATATGGTCGTTGTGTTTTAAAACGCAACCCCAGAACGACCCGTTCTGATTTTAAAACGGGCCGTTCCAGATGCCAAGTTTAGACATGCTGAAAGGATCCAGAACGGGCCGTTCTGACCGTTCTGACCCCTTGGGTCACCAGTGATGAAATGATGAGAAATGAGATTATGAGACGTGACTGGCTCCACATGCATTTATGAGTCGAGTCCATGAGATCATTGCATGATGAATGACTGTGCACGTGTTACTGTTGTATGTATAATTGGAATTTGTACTTAAATAATGTGTAGCTATGACTGTGCTTGTATGATTTGTGTGTGTGTTGCCTAACTGTTATTTCTACACTTGGAACCGAGTGAGATGTTTCTCACTCCCTTGGTGTTCTTTGTATGTGCTTGAAATTGTGTTGCAGGTGATCAGCATGATGATGTTGGTGATAAGGCTTAGGCTTCAATTGGGCATGCTCTGATAGAATATGTGACATCGGGACATAGCTAGGCGTAATTAGGATTTCATTATTGTATTTTGTTTTGGAAGAACTCATTTTCATTTTTCCGCATTTGGTCTTGTTTTAAGGTGATGAATGTGAACTCTTTACCTTTATGTGGTTGGAGATTTGGTTTTTAATGATGAAGAATTTTATTTCTATAATTACTATATATTTATGTTGGGGTAGAGGGTGTCACACATAGGCTCCCTAGAACTCAAAAACAAACTCAAATTCAACATGCATTCATCAAACGCATCGAAATCATCAAAACTCCAATTTTTATCCCAAAACCCCAAAATGAACAATTTCTCCAATCCAACTATGGATTCTCAACATTCATGCACCAATTGAGTTTCTAAACTTACATGCAACCAAACAACAAACATCCTAGCTTCCCTCACCTGAAAATTTGCTTAAAATAGCCAAGAACTAAGAAGAAGAAGAAGAAGAAAAAGTATCCTCCAAAGCTCGACTCCTGGACTTCAATCCTCCAAGAACAAGCTTTCTAGCTTGAAATTCAAGAGAAGACAGAAGATATTAGTGATCTAGAAGAGAAGAAGAATCATACAGAGAAATTTGGGAGAGAAAGGAGCTCACAGACCCAGAGTCCTTCTCTCTAAAACCTCTCTCTAAGTTCTTTTTTTTTTCTCCTCAACTGCATGCATGGCCTATTTATAAAAGTCTGGAGTGGCCAGAACGACCCATTTAGGATCCGGAACGGCCCGTTCTACACTTCTTTATCATGTGCAAACCTTACATCTAGAACGACCCATTCTTAAACCAGAACGGCCCGTTCTGGAGTTAAGTTTAACTCACCACGACTATGTTTGGAACGACCCGTTCTCAACTAGGATTTATAGACCTATTTAGTAGTTTGGAACGGTCCGTTCTGGACTACTAAATCACCCTTGTTTTAGTAGTTTGGAACAACCTGTTCCAATTTGGGAACGTCCCGTTCCAAAATTTGGGAACGTCCCGTTCCAAAATTTAGGAACGTCCCGTTCCAGTCTACTAACTACGTTACAATATTAATAATTGTAACTAATTAAGAAAATAATCATAAAATATTAGAAAACATGGAATCTAAGAAAATAGTGAAACTAATTGTAAGAAATAATTTCTAGGATACTCTCAAATATAATGTTGTATACTACAAACCCCCCCCCCCCC